GATAATAGTCTAGAAATATGTATTAATGCTTCTTTTATGATTTTACAAAATATCATTGCATATTTTCACATATTTCATAATATTTCCACAATGTCTCTAATTTTTACAATATTTCCCCTTGACATTTCTGACATTTCMGACATATGTCCTATATTTTGGTAAGCGACATTTCCATCGACATCGACATTTTAAACCTTGACTTATATACGTAAATCAATATATGTATCATAAATAATATACAAGAGCATACAAATACAAGTCTAATACATAAGGTTTGGGTTTGATTGGGTTGCTCAAGGCATCAAACCCTAACTCAACCTAACTCTATATCAGGTCAAGATTTTCCAATCTTAACCCAACCCTACCCCCCTTCCTTTTTTTGGGTTGGGGGTTAGGCTAAGATTGGTCCATCCCAAGTTGCACCTATAGCAAGGTGTATGAGATGGTAACTCTAGAAATCCTGTGCACAATACCCATATGTCTGTTAGATGTGTGGTGTGCCTTTTAAAATAATTTACCCTCCAAATTTCTAAAAATATATAAGTGTGCAGTACAAAAGAAGTGTATGCAGAGTTAACTGATGTACCTGAAAAAATCTATATAATATTAGTACAATTTATAGTTGAAAAGAAGAGATATGACTAATTAAATGCTGTGAATGAAGGTGCTAGCGACATACAACTAGTACCTGGTTTCTGACACATTCTATCTTTCAGAGAATATTGTTCTCTTATTAGGATGAAAAGGTTGAAATATTATATCGAGCTGTTATGTTTAAGAGATGAGTTAAATACGTGATATCTTGCCAACAAAACTACCTTTTCTTTGTATAAGGTCTATGTCTTTTTCTGTATGATTAGTAACCATAACTTTATATTCATTATAAAACATGAAATAGATCATTATGTACAAATCATGTGCTGAGTATCTGGGTTGAATATCATTTTTATTATTGTTTTTTTTCTATGAATTTTTATTATTTATCATAGGAACACATTTATCTGTTTTGATTTGGTATTCTAGTCTATCTAGTTATGTTATCTCTGATAGAAATTCCTGCTTTCAATTTGGACAGGATGTTGTTAATAATATTTGTGATGATGACGATATCAAGGCTATTTCATTTGTTGGTTCAAACACTGTAAGTTCATCTCGTCCACAACATGCAATTCCTACTACTTATTCCTACATGATGCTTCTATCTTTAGAACCATTTTATGCCAATCCCATTAATCTATTTTCAAGTTAGTCTTGTAAATGATCCAATCGTATACATCCTTAATAAAACATCAGGTTACTTTGGAGGAGCATAATGGCTTGTGTAGGCTCGCTCATCCCTTTCAGAAAAATTTAGGAAATATAATTCTCCCAAGGGGATATCAAATATTCAATTCAACTTCAAGGAGTGTTGGTTTTAAAATTCTTAATCTCAGCTATTGTTGGGATGTTTTTGGACCATAAGAATACTACTCACAATTTTCTTGGGATGTTTTGGGTGTTAATGATTTATAGAAGTCTAGAGCATTAGTTTTTCTTAAAGGGATGAGAATGCCCAAAAGCGTCAACTTCAATATTGTTACTGTGGTGGGTTAATTAAATAATGGAACATTTTAGGTGCTTGGTAAGAAAAAGGGCCATATTCACCTCTCACATAGTGTTGGCATATGTTTTGGTATCTTCCTTGATTACATTACTCTTTAATATGCGATTTTCTTGCAAAAGTAGCTCATAAAGATGTGTTGTTTTGTGTAATATTTGGACCTTGGCGCTTACTTTCATTTGCATCTATTCTAAACCTTTTCTTCTATCTACACTTTGTCACTAAAACTTGTTTTTTATGAACCAAACAAAATTGTGAGAAAATTATCCATGTCCTCTGCAACTTGCCAATCTGAAGAAGATAAGATCAGGTTTGCTTTTAGCAGTTCATAGTATCAAATTTGGGTCTAATTTTGTGAAGATGAGTTGGCCTCCGAGAGGATTGCATTCTCCAACTATTGTATTGCTTGACTTTTATAAGTAACTTTCTTATCCTTCTGCTCTCTTTTTTCAAGGCTGGCATGCACATATATGCAAGAGCTGCAGCTAAAGGAAAACGTATTCAGGTAATTACCGTTCCTTCGCTTTAGCAAAGAGCATGGGGTCTTTTTGTCATAGAAATATGCTAACTAGATGCATATTGCTTTAAGTCAACTTAAATTCATTGCTTTGACTTTTGTCTTCAGTCAAATATGGGAGCAAAAAATCATGCTATTGTCTTGCCTGATGCAAGCATGGATGCTACTTTGAATGCTCTAGTAGCTGCTGGTTTTGGTGCTGCAGGGCAAAGGTGCATGGCACTCAGCACAGCAATTTTTGTTGGAGACTCAAAATCATGGTATTGTGGTTTGTTTACCTAGTTTATTTTTATTTGTTGTTTTAGTTAATTGTGGTTTTATTTAAAAGTAGCTTTGTCCAAGGTTCCTTAAATATGAACAACTTTTCTATTTCTACATCTTAATGCATGCACGCATGCATATTTTTTTTTGTTAAAATAAAAAAATGTATGTGCATTAAAAATAAATGTGTTATGCACTTGCTGCCTCCTGTATTTGGGAGTGGGATTTACACCATTTTATTTCACTTTTTATCTTGAAAAAATATGTCAGTTATTGATCAAAAAAGTTGAAATTAGTAAATAAATGTTCTTTAAATACATGTCTTCACTCTCTGTATGATTTGAATGTTGGTATCCTATTCTATGTTCTTCAGTATGATAGTTTTCTCAAAAGATAATGGTGATTCTGGGAATTGTTTTTTGTTACTTGATGCTAAAGATTTTTGATAAGGTTCATCATTCATTTTGCTTTCTTCAGGGTGGAGAGACTTGTGGAGAGGGCAAAGTCACTTAAAGTTAGTGCTGGAATTGAGCCTGGTGTAGATCTTGGTCCAGTTATTAGCAAACAGGTGTACTAACTACTAAAATTACCAATTAACCTGCACCATAATATTGGAGGAAGATGACCAGTTGAGATTTATCCAAGTTCCTAATTTGTATTATCTTATAAAAAAATGGCATCATAAAAAATTTCATGGCACTTTGTTCTCCATTGACATATTAATAGTGTATTTGATGCCATCATAGCAGAGCATAGAGCCGAATCTGTTTCTATATGTGCATCTTTTTGTATGTTTTCTTCCTGATTTTTATGTTGCTGTTTACATGCCTTCTGTAACCACAGGCAAAGAATCGAATATGCAAACTGATCCAGAGTGGTGTTGAAAGTGGTGCCGAACTTTTGCTTGACGGGAGAGATATTGTGGTATGCACACTTATATTCTTCTGTTTTGTCATCTATGTTTGCCGATAAGATTCTGCTTGCTTTTTCTTTATGTAATGGATAGTTTTCTCTCTTAAAGCATTGAAGAAAGAGCAACATGTCCTACATATGTGCAAGAACCCTCTCTCACTTGGCATATTTGACATGATGTTGGAAATACATCTTACCTGATAGCTTCATGGAGCTTTTCTTTTGGTTAGTCTTTTGAAAGAAAGTAGAAGAAGACAAATTATTATCTCAAAAATAAAAATAAAAAGAACTCAGGCGGATGATTTGGAGAAACCAAGCACATACCTAGTGGAAAAGGTAAATTCCTTATCTACAATGACAAAGATCAATACATAGGAGTGTTTTTGTCTTACGAAACACTACTTTTTAAACCATTGATTAGGGGTGAACACCCTTTACCAAGAGTGGGATGTGGCCAAATTATCATCATTGTCCATGCTTCATTCCAACTATATGGAGTCGGCTACATGACCCTTGTTTCGCCAATCCATTCTATTTAAAGCTATATCCACTGTTAAATTATTAGTGCTTAAGTCATTTCTTACTACTTCTACCCATGTCCCTTTTGGTCTACTTCTGTCCCTTCTAGCCCCTTCAACTTGTAACAAATCATTTCTTCTAACTGGTGCTGTTGGTGGTCTTCTATGCATGTGACTAAACCATCTTAGTATACTTTCTTTCATTTTATCACCTATTGGGGCTACTCCTAGGTTCCTACGGATGACTTATTTCCGATCCTATCCTTTCTAGATTTTCCACTCATCCATCTTAGCATTCACATTTATTAGAAGTAAAAGTCATTGAAGTTTTTCCCCCTTAAATACATGAGTAGAAAACAAATTATTGCATTGTTGAAATCCTTTCATATTTACAATCCTTGGTGTCTTTAAATCAAACAATCAAGATCTCTACTAGTTTTCCTGTATACATGGAAATATTTTCCTTTGTACTATATGGAATGATGAAAGGAAATGAGCAGCTTAGTTTGTTCCATTATATGAGAATGACACCATAACTGTTTTGTGATGTAGGATTTTCTCTGCATATCATAGAGTTGGATTTGATCAACATTCTCTTCCTTCCCTCCTTTATACCTTAACGTATACCTTCATGAACTAATAAATTCTGATCAGTTACTGGCCAAATAAAAAAGGAAGAGAATGTTGATCAAATCCAACTCTATGATATGCAGAGAAAATCCTACATCACAAAACAGTTATGATGTCATTCTCATATAATGGAACAAATTATATATATACATATACATATATATATATATATATATTTCAATTTTATTATACTATTTTATATTCCAATTGTATTGTAATTTTTTTAATTTCATTTTATTATTTCATATATAAACAATTGTATACATCAAAATTCATATAGAATAAAATTTTAAGATTTTTTTTTCAATTTCTTGTCTATTTTGGTAGTTTATTTTAACTTTTTCATTTTTTTTAAATCATGCCTCTCATGGCCTGGAATGGGCCTGCCTAGGCTCGTGTTGCGGGCTGTGCCGGGCCTGACCTTTGAAGAGTTCCGGGCCAGGCAAGCATGGTCCACCCAGGCCCGTGTGCTGGCATGGCATGGACCACTAAAGCACTGGCAGCCCGCAAAGTCGTGTCTTTCCTGCATGACACAACCCAGTTTACACCTCTACTCCCGACTATTAGTTCATGAAGGCATATCTATGAAGTATGATATACAATAGGGAGAGGCACTAAGTGCTTGTAATCAAAGCATACATGAGGTGAAAGGTGATAGAAGAGGTGGGTTAGAGAAGAAAAAGAGAGGTTCAGATTTGAGCTTCAAATCTGTTGCATCCTTTTTTTGAAATGAAAAAGAAGAGAAAATATAGGGAAAAGAGAAAATACATGTATTGATCAGGTAAAACAATATTCAACTATATTTGATTCTTTGTAACTTCCTTTTGATAACAGAAGAAGCTTTATTTATAAACCAAACATTATAGTTGGCCAGCTTATATTCCAGTCTGAATAGGATTTCTAACAAGTTATAAATTTTTAACAAATAGAATGACTGAACAACGAGGATTCTATGTGGATCCCAATTGACAGCTAGACTCTTGATATTTCTAACACCACCTGCTAAAGAGGCCTATATTTAAAAAGAAAATTTAGTAACAAGTATTAGTAAAAGAAATAAATCAAGATTTTACAATAAATTTCAATGACATGAATTACTACAAATAGCAAGTCTAAAAATTAAAATAGGCAAGTTTGTTATTGCAAAAGATAGTGAACTTCTTCTAGATGGCTGCAACTCAGTCCCTTCTTCTTTTTCCCTTTCTTTTTTTTTCATCTGCATCAATTGGCAAGCTAATAACTCTAAGGGAAAATTTCTTAAACTACCCTTATGATTTAGCTAATTGACTAAGTATACCCCTACTGTTTGAATATTGTCTAATGCTACCCCTATTGTTTTGAAAAATCACCACTACCGTTGAAATATTAACAGCAGGGCTGAAATGCCCGTTTAGCCCTTATGTGAGAGCTCCTTTCTTCTTCTTCGTCTTCCTTGACGTGCAAGCCCCTCTCGCCCCTGTTTCATCACTGCCTCTGCTGCAACATGTAACAGCAGCAGACCCCTCCACACAGCCCTCTCTTCTCCCTGTCCATCCCCTTCGTTCCCTCTCCCTCTCATCCCTGTTTCATCACCGCCGCCGCCGCTACAGGTAGCAGCGATGGACCCCTCCACATGATCCCCTCTCTTTGTCTCTCTCTTTCCGTCCGTCCCCTTCGTTTCCTCTCCCTCTCGCCCTTCTTTCATCATCGCCGGTGGATCCCTCTACACAGCCCTCTCTCTCTCTCTCTCCCCTGTAGCAGCAACACGAGCTTCCACTGCAACCTGTAGCAGGAGCGGCAGATCCCTCTACACAGCCCCCTCTCTCTCTCTCTCTCCCCTGTAGCAGCAACACGAGCCTCCACTGCAACCTGTAGCAGCAGCGGCGGATCCCTCTACACAG